CCCCTCGGGGGCCAGAGCTTCTGCCCTGGCCCTCGGCTGGCCCAGCCTTACCCCTGCCGCCCTCACTCACCGCTGGCCCGAGCCGGACTGCAGCGGGTGCTGCCGCCCAGCACCCTGGTGACACCCTCGGGGACTTCTCCTCTGTGATGTCACAGGAGCCAGAGCCCCACGGGGAAACCCGCCGCTTGGGCCACGGACACGGGCCACGGACACTGCCCCCGGCTCTGCAGCCCCTGCAGCTGGCACAGCACAACCCCCCTGGAAGGACAGAGCTCCCGGGGCCCCTAAACCGCCCCAGACAGAGCAGCAGGGCAGCATGAGGGCAGCCCTGGCTTGCACCGGGAGCTCCACGGCCCCGCCTGGGCCCCAGGGCTGGGCTCCTGGATACTCCAACCTGTGTTGGATTGTTATAGACCTGCATTGCACCCAGAGACTTCTGACTGCCTGGCCTGTCAGGAAATCAGATACGCCCTGGTCACAGAATCACACAGAATCGTCTAGGTTGGAAAAGACCTTGAAGATCATCCAGTCCAAACCTTGACCTAACATTGACAGTTCCCAACCACACCAGATCCCTCAGCGCTGGGTCAACCCGACTCTTCAGTCACTTCAGGGATGGGGACTCCCCCCCTGCCCTGGGCAGCCCATTCCAACGCCCAACAGCCCCTTCTGCAAAGAAATCCTTGCTCAGAGCCAGCCTGACCCTGCCCTGGCACAGCTTGAGGCCATTCCCTCGGGGCCTGGCGCCGGGGCCTTGGCTCAAGAGACTCATCCCCCCTCTCTGCACCCTCCTGGCAGGGAGTCGCAGAGGGCCAGGAGGGCTCCCCTCAGCCTCCTCTTCTCCAGACAGAACCCCCCCAGTTCCCCCAGCCGCTCCCCAGCAGACCTGTGCTCCAGACCCTGCCCCAGCTCCGTTGCCCTTCTCTGGCCCTGCTCGAGTCATTCAATGGACTTTTTGGGGTGAGGGGCCCAGAACTGAACCCACTCATCGAGGGGCGGCCTCACCAGTGCCGAGCCCAGGGCTCAGATCCCCTCCCTGTCCCTGCTGGCCACGCCAGTGCTGACACAAGCCAGGATGCCATCGGCCTTCTTGGCCCCCTGGGCACACTGCTGGCTCCTGTTCAGCCGGCTGTCAATCACCCCCCAGGTCCCTCTCTGACTGGCAGCTCTCCAGCCACTCCTCCCCAGGCCTGTAGCCCTGCTGGGGGTTGTTGTGGCCCAAGGGCAGCCCCCGGCATTTGCCCTCCGTGAAACTCCCCCAGTTGGGCTCAGCCCATGGCTCCAGCCTGTCCAGGTCTCTCTGCAGAGCCTCCCCACCCTGGAGCAGATCCACACTCCCATCCAACTGGGTGTCATCTGCAAACTGACTGAGGGGGCACTCGATCCCCTCCTCTAGAGCATCAGTAAAGATGTTAAACAGGAGTGGCCCCAAAACCCAGCCCTGGGGGACACCACTCGTGACCGGCCACCAACTGGATTTAACTCCCTTCACCACCACTCTTTGGGCTCGACCATCCAGACAGTTTTTTAGCAAGCGAGAATGATGAATGTGGGTCTGTTAGTGGCCGTATTCCCACTGTCTAGCAAGGAAGAAATGTAATGTGTGTAAAAAAAAAAAAAAAAAAGGCCTTTTCCCCACAGCAGCAACTTCTTTTTAACATCATTTAGGCAGGGATAAACCAGCATGACATAAATAAATAAATAAATAAATAAACAAACCAACCCCTCCTGGTTCCTGAGCCACTTCCAGACCTGCTGGGTCGGGTTTTTGCTGGTGTGAGCGCAGAGCTGCAGGCGTGCGATGGGTACGGACACGCACACCCCCGGCCAGGGCAGGCACAGACCGGGAGGGCTTCTCCTTGCATCTGAAGGAGACACCGTAACTGCTGGAAAACAGAATTCAGAACGCAGTGTTACAGCTGCAGGAGGTGAGCAAAGTACGCTGGAAATACATTAAATCAGTACAGGCATTTTACACTCAGACAAAACATTTGCTCCCATTACACCCCTTCCTACCTGTTGCAGGGACCCTTTATTTGCAGGGCGAGGCTGTGAGGCAAGACACACCAATATGGTTAACAGTCAAGCTCCAACGTTTATTAGAAAAACAAGTCCTTATATATTCCTGTGACAGCAAATCCGTGTGTTGCTCTGACGCATGCTCATTTCAAAAACTCGTTCCTCTCAGCACTTTCAACAACCGCTGCTAAGTGTGCACAACCGGTAGATAAATTTCTGCTTTGCTATTCTAAAGATTCCCTTCTTATCTGTTTCTTCGCTAATGAGCATGTTTATGTGCATGTACAGTTTAAATAATTTGAATATTGTCCATATTTTATTAATATTGTGAATATTATTTGCATATACGGTTTATTTTATATATATATATGCACATTTTGCAGTGTGAAAGTGCCAAAGTTTAGCACTTCAGGTGGCAATTTGCTGGCAACATAGGAAAAAATAATATATATATTTCAAGATATAAATACCCTCAAAAATTAATAAGAACTTTCATGAATTTTTTCACACATTCAGAGGGAATATAAACTGCCATACATGTCCTATTATGAGCAAAATAGAAGGTGTTTCCTTTCAGTCTTCACATTTAACATGATTATTTCTGCTTACCACTTCATAGCAGTGGCCCTTAAGGAGTGAAATTCACTTCCTCACATATCCTCTACGCAACCACTCACTTTCTGTATCCAACATCCTCATCCCTAGTGGCATCATCTCCAAAGCTGCAACAGAGGAAAAAGGAAACAGCAGACACCTCTGCAATGGTATTATGCCATTCGGGATGACCCTTTCCCATTCAAACTGGACAACAACTCTGATCCTACAGTCTATCTAGGACCTAAGAAAAAGCCCTTTGTGTCTTAAAATGATGAGGTTTTAAGAGTACTAACAAGAAGTCAAGTAAATAACAAGGATCAAGGAAAAGTGAGAGTCTGAGAAGGCTTTCAATTACATCAGGCTCCTTGTTTAGGAGAAATACAATTTGCATCATTATCATATAATGTGAACAGTCAAAAACTGGTCTACACAGTATTCTGTACAGATCTGAATCTTGGTCAAATATACAAACTTTGTAATACTTTCCCATTCTAAACTCCGGTTATTGCTGAAACTCAAGTGTTCGCTCAATGCTGCATTAGACAGACGTTCAGATTTTGCTTTTTATGGAATGGATTTTTGATGCACATTTTTTCACCTGGCATTACACAAGACAGAGTTTGATATACTGAAGGAAAGTAAGTAAACTATTTTGAAAGCATTTACTTGTAGCCAGAGTAATGGTGGAATATTTCAGGACCTGCTCCTCCTCAAGAGCTTGGCCACAGCTCAGTTTCTGAGCTCCTGTGCTGAAATCAATGCAAACGAGAAACAGGCAAAGTGCAAACAAAACATCTTCCCTCTTATTAGCAATAAAAGTTGATCATATCGAAATAGTTTCCTTTCACACTGGTCTGGAACAAGATGTTACAAAATGCAAATTAATCTCAGAAATAACTTAAAGTCATGTATTTAATTGCCTGAGAAACAAAGAGGCTGCCAATACTTGTCCTGTGCTCCCCTGGGTCTATTCCTCTTATCTTCCAGAATCACAGCTTCAGTATCGTCAACCATTTATTTTTTATGCTAAAGCTTCCTGCACATTTTCCAGCCTGGCTGCTCTTCAGTCTCCAGTGCTGCCTGTTTCTGATATGTGTGTGGCAACCACGGTGACAACAGGGGCTGGGGTCACTGATCCCCTCTGTCACCGGAGGAACGTGTGACCTTAACTGCTTTAACATGGACCAAATCCTCATCTGCTGTGAACTCATGGCGTTCCACTGAAGTGAATCACGCTGATTTAAACTGTTTGGCCTTTCAAACCTACAAGCCTCAGTAACCCCACCTGTAATTCTTCTCTAACTCTTGCAAAAGCCACACTTGGATGTGTATGATCTAATCACTCCTAGTACAGGGACTCCCAACTGAAGTGGATGAAGCAGGATTTTGTTAGCACCTTTTTTTATGCTGACCAAGTACAAAATCCCTTAATGGATCATAATGAAAATTGATAAACCCCTAACAATTCAGTCATGCAGCTCTGAAGATCCATATACCCGTGCTCCATTCCTGCTTCTCCCTAACTGTCTGCTCAGAGACACTGCTGAACACAGAGCGCTGCGACAGAGGGGCCATGGCCCACCTGACATCTCACGGTGAACAGGACTAAGCAATAAAAACTCTTCTGGGGGATCCGGATAAGTGACATGATTTTAAAAATGAAATAAATCAGTTTCTCTAATAGTATTCATGAAAGCAAACAGCGAAAGCTTTGCCTGACGTTAGGCAGACTAATTTACAGATAAGTCTTTGATTAATAGTAAGTTAGCAGAGTGGCTTGCCAGCCAGCCAGCCCCCAGCCCATACCTACTGCAAGGGGTTATTCCTTCCCAGATGTAGGATTCTGAGTTTGTCTTTGCTGAATTTCATAAGGTTCCTACTGGCTCATTCCTCCAGCCTGTCTAGATGTCTCTGAATTGCAGCACTGCCCTCGAGCATGTATTAATTAGTCTCCTCCAATTTGATTTTGGGATTGCCCCAACCCATGTGCAGGACCTTGCACTTGGCCTCGTTGACCTTCATGAGGTTTGCATGGGCCTACTTCTCCAGACTGTCCAGGTCCCTCTGGATGGCACATCCTTCCCTCCAGCATGTGTCTGCACCACACAGCTCGGTGTTGTCAGCAGACTTGCTCAGGGGGCACTTGATCCCACTGCCCATTTAGTAAGAGATTCATTAGAAAGTGAAGAAATGAAGAAAGTCTTCTCTTGTATTGCTTGCTTTAGTTTAAAATCTAATTGATATGATAATCAAAGTAAGTAACTTGAGACTTAAGTGACTTAAATTCCTTGCTAAAAAAAAAAAATCCGGTTGTTCAAAAGTAACAAAACCAGTATTTCACATACAACAAGAATTTAAGTATGTATATCTCCAGCCCTCTAAAAATGTTAAGCTCACACACTAATTAACAACTTTATGAAACCAACAATATGTGTATTTCCCTGGATCCAGTTGCATGCAATCCACTTATGATCATAAACTCATGATCCCAACCCCAGAGGCTAGCAGTATTCCCTATGCACGCACTACAGTGTGCACAAGCAAAAACCTGCCATCAGTACAGTCAGAGTGTGTATTTATATTTCTATATTTATACAGTCTATATTTATTATCAGAGTCTTTATTGTGTGTCACATTTTCTGAGAAAAAAATCCTAGCTTAAATGAATAATCACTTCTTAACAACAGAAGTGAACGAACTTGTTGGATTCCTAGTGCACGGTTAGAATGTCTCCTATGAGGACTACGAGGCCTAGAAAGAAAAATGATCAGACAAAAATTATGGGAGTATGTCACCAAAGAAAAACTTCTTTATAAAAATTTAGCATTAGAAAGAAAGCACTTTGATTAAAACAACAAAAACAGAAAGGGTTCATTGCAATTCCATCTCCAAACAACTAGAAAATGGAGGGAGATTGCAGAAAGAAGGAAAATTACAGAAATTGCTCTCAGAGGAGTTCTGAAATTTTCTGATCACCTCATATGCTGGGAACTTTTGATGTCTCAGAAAAAATACGTTTCTTTAGTTCATTATAACAATTTAAAACCCATGTCAATATGGCACATCTGAAATAAAATTTAGTCTTTTTAAATTTTTAGTGCTTCCTAAACTAAGTTTTATGACTGAAATAATTTCTTAGGCTCCCACACTGACACTCTCATATAGCAATATGGGAATTTCCTACATCAAAAACCCGGTGAAAGTCTCAAATAACTGCAGAAAATTCAATGCTGATCCAGCAAATAATGCTGTTTTTAAAGGGCTGCACAGTGATTCTGACCCTTCAATAATCATGAAGTCTGGAGAAGTACACTTCAAACATACAAGCAAGTTAGAGGATAGATTTAGGATCGGTACTTTTGGATAAACTTTTTCCCATATTTTAAGTCTAATGGCAGGTCAATAAATTAAAAATCCCAATTCAAGATATATATGCTTGATCAGAAGACTGAAAATAACCTTAATTCAAGTCAACACTTGTGGGTGCGTACGCCGGGTCACAAACCGTCTGCGTCACTGACATCAGCATTCAAGTTGGAAGATTAACGATGTCTAAATTAATGACGCACTTGTGTTAGAAGACTAACGGCGTCTAGATTAACGATGGCTAAAAGCGATGGGTAAAATGGCGCGTGGACAAGTAGCTTTAGGCTACGAGCAATCAAGTAGCTGCACGTGTGCTTTATGGTGGTCTATATATTGCTGTGTGTCCTTTAATAAAATGGCATTGTGGAGGCCTGGAAAGATTGTCGCTGCGTCTCTCTTCGCCCCAGGAGTAGGGGTTGTAAGAGCTCTATCCACCTTGAACAAAATGGCCTGTTGGAGTTTAAAATAATTTAACTTAACATCTAATATAGTAAGCAATTTGTTGACAAATGAAGGTAGTATAAGCCATGCAATTTTGCAGAATAAAGCCACTATAAATTTTTGTTACTGGCACCAGGACATGGATATGAAGAATTTGAGGGTATGGGCTGTGTGAATCTTTCTGATGACTCTCAATTTATCTCTAGGCATTGATGATAATTGCTAGACAATGTGTATTGTGGGATTACTGACATGCTGTCTT